TTTATATATATGCAATCGACACCAAATATATATCTCAATAGAAGAATTTATATTTGCTACCTACTGATTTTTCATCATTTGATTCCCAAAGATGAGCATCCATTATACACCCACATGAAAACATCCAATGTACGTCCAAAGTGGTGTCCGCAAGACATAAAATGGACTTTCATTGGACGTTTAACGTCCAATTCGGTACGTCCAATGGATGCTCAGACATGTACATCCATTGTGAGTCCAAATATGAACATCCACCATCAGGACATTCATTGGACGTCCATAGGATGCTGAACGTCCACTCGAGTACTTCCATTGGACGTCCTTACGATCCGACGTGGACGTACATTGTACGTACATTGGACATACATGTGCTGTGTGCCCAGGTAGCACATCATATTGGCTGGAACCTGATTTCATATTGGGCCGATATAGATATATCGTACATGTGAAAAATAATATAGGTCAAATATGAGAGTATATTGGACATACAATATTGGAATGAAAATATTGGTAGAATATTGGTTCACCCTGAGCTGAATTTGGATTGTCACCTACAATATTGGAGCAATATTGGTTGTAAAATTCGTTATCAATGTGTTGAAAAACATATCTATAAATGTTATATAATATTGTTTCGCAAATGTCGATACAACAACATCGTATATATATTGTTCCCGACATTTATTACCAATATCGCAATTTGAACATTCTCCCCATGTCGATTCTGAAGCGGTTATGCAATATTGTATATTCAAGTTCGACGGCATATTAGTTGAATATTGTATTAATTAACAATATTTGAAACATCATATTCACCATCATAATTGATATCATTTTATCTATATCATGCTGAAGATATCGTATTCATATTGTTCCCAACAATTATAACCAATATAGCAACATTCTTCCCATGTCAATTCTGAAGCGGTTATGAAATATGTTATGTTCGAGTTCGGCGGCACATTGGTTCAACAATATTTGAAACATTGAATTCACCTATATTGATCGATATCATTTCAACTATATCACGCGGAAGATAGCGTATTATATATATTGTCTCCAACAACTCTATAACCAATATCACAAATCAAACATTCTCCCCATGTCGATTTTGTAGCGGTTATGCAATATGGTGTAATCGATTTCGACGGCAAATTGGATGAATATTGTTTCAACAATATTTGCAACATCGAATTCACTTATATTGATCGATATCATTTCAACTATATCATGCGGAGAATATCGTATACATATTGTTTTCAACAATTATAACCAATATCACAATTTGAACATTCTGCCCATGTCGATTTTGAAGCGGTTATGCAAATTTTTTTTTTTCGAGTTCGACGGCTCATTTTGAATATTGTTTCGACAATATTCGAAACATCATATTTACACAAATTGATTGATGTCGTTTCAGCTGTATCATGCGAAAGACATGGAATGCATATTATTTCAAAGATGAATATCAATAACGGCAATTCTCTATATATTTCATATCGGTCATAAAAAAAGAAAACAATATTATGTTTTCAAGTTGCATATCGGTTGAATATAGTTTTCCAGCCATAATCAGAAAATAATATCATCTCATATTGCTGATATCTGATTCACTATATCATATGAGCAATATTGTTCTTATATTGTTTTGAAAATACATATCGATATCGAAATTTCTATATTTATTCCATATCACGTACTCTAAAACCGATGCCGATAAATGGCGCTATAAATGCTTGGTATAACGTATACTCCCATTGCCGATCAGACGAGAGAATATGAATATTGGCTTCAGACGATTGAAAAGAATTATTACCTGGAGTAGGGGTAAACCTTGATCAACAAGGCGGCTTCCCCAGGGCAAGGCGGCTTCCCCAGGACGAGGCCCTCTATCACTTCGGCTGGGCTGACCTTTGTGATTATTCCTAATGCGAATAACTCGCAAATATTCGTATGAAAATATTTCACCAATATTTTGAAGACAACATAGCCACATAATAATTTCAAATGATGTACTTATATTTCAAACCAATATTGCACCAATATTCACCATCAATTTCTCGCCAATATTGATATTACATTTTGTGACCAATATAACTCTACGAATATTTAAGCAATATTGATATGAGAATATTTCACTTTGTTTTTTGGGACGACATTGCAACATGCTGATTATCAATATTCTATCACTTTTGGAAAATGATATTGTACCAATTCGCGAAAAACTTTCGACAAAATTATGAATTCTGGAAAGTTATCTCCTTTATTTTTCTGGAATCAACTTCTCATCAATATTCAAACTCTGAAGAATCGGCTGAAGGCTGCTTCTAGTGATAATAGGCCGATCCAGGATAAGCTACAGGATATTCTCTTCCGCTACAGAGCTACTCCACTTGTCTGTGGTAAATCACCTGCAGAATTGTACCTCAATAGGAAATTGAGAATCCGTTTGCATGCTATTTTTCCGTATATACTCCACAAGTCCAGGACATCTTCGGGGACTCCTCGTTCATTTTATGAGGGGGAAAGAGTCCAGATCAGACTTTTTATCAATAATAACAACGTCTGGCATTTCGGCGTAATTCAAAAAGTTCTTGGACAACGCCACTATTCGGTTACCGGCCGAACACTGAAATGACATGTCGACCAACTTAGATCCAGTTTGGTTCCGAAACCTACTGTTACCTTTGGACCTACTCAATCATCCAATATGTACCAAGAATACCAACAGTGCTACAGCCACATAATATACCAGAATGTGTTGTTGAACCAGTAGAACCAAATAGGTTTCATTTTCCAGATCTTCCTCAAGATCGACCACAGCGCCAGCGACGCCTACTTCCATGTTTTGCTGACTACGACATGAAGTCTTAAGATTGTTGTTATAAGTTTTATTTTGATGATGATGATGTATTTTCTAATTATGTGGGGGAGACTGGCTTATCCTTAGATATTAGAATCACCCAGTATCCTAGACTATTCGATAAATGTCAATAGTTCATGACATACCATAATTAGTTTTCAATAAATGTGTCAAGTACCATTGCAAGCTCTTCTAGTATATCTCAGTTCTATACAATAGTTAAATCATTTTTCATGATATACAGACGTTAGAGTGGTCGATCAGTATACTATGCAGTACTAAAATATTGAAAATTTTGTTAAATTTTCAAACCCCCTCTTGTATGTATATGAATGGCAAACAATAGTGGGCCAAATATGCCGCTTCCTAAAATCTGTCGCCCTAGGCTCCAGCCTACTCAGACTGCTGGTATATTCTGCACTGGTTCAGAGAATATAGTACATATACCATGAATTGTGAAACAATCGAATATCCATGCGAATGCGAAGCGTATAACGTCGTTCCGCAAAAAAGTTAAACCATGAAATATATTGTGTGTTTAGGCTCGACCCCAACCGCGCCGCGGACTGGGCCGCATTTAAACATTCCACTATATAGGGGACAGTTTGAAAACTTCCCAATATCTTCCTTTCAATTTTCGTTCCAACGGTACCCTAGTTCATCATTTTCTGTTTAACAGTTTCCGAAAAATGCCGTGTTAATTAGAAAACTTCCCAGTCCTTAATAAGCTCATTTCACGTGAATGATATGAAAAATTGAGAAGATACCTACCTCCTTTCCCTATCCTCCCTAGGAATGCACGATGTTCTTCGAACATTATAGGGATTCCCTTTCGTGCGCTCCAAGCGATAAAAAAAATATCCTCAAGGGGGCACTGTGAATGCATATTTTTACCACTCTTGGTTCAACCCCCTAGGAGGGGTTGATGTTACCCTAAGAACCTTACACGGTGAAAATTCCTATTGAGTGAAGCTTCTCGTCAAAATGGAAATGTACCATTTGTTTCATCAAGAACTCAAATTTTGTTGAAATTCTGTCAAAATTTTGTACATGATTTCTATAACATTTTTCATATTTATGAGACATTTTGTATCAATTTGACTCGAAGGGTAGCTATAAAATGGTTGAACAGTTCGCTGTGTTCCTGGATTGGAACAAAGTTGCGTGGACCTGGAGTTGAAATCAACATCAAAATTCCTACCGAAGTTGGTCAAGATGCACATTATTTTGAAGGGCGTTCAATTCCCTTTCCAACAATACCCTAGTTTATCTTTTTTTGATGAACACTTTCTGAAAAAATGTTCTAAACTGACAGTAGTAATTAAAACATGCCTGCACTGAGATGCATTCAGAATCTCCCTACCATTTGGACTGAAAGGAAAGTCAATACAATGAAACTAACCTGAAAACCTTGCATCTCAGTGAAGGCATGTTCCATTGTCTGCTAAATATGGAGAAGAAATCTAGATTTTGTAGAATAAAGAATGTTCTAATTACTTCAACTCAACTCAATATTTAGCCGATCTCGATATTACTTGCAATACACTTTCGGTTGTACCCAATCGAACCCTCTTCAACTTTTCTACATGTCTCCTACTTTTCGCTCTCCTATTATGCTTTCCGAAATCTGTATGGATTTCGACCACCTTCGGGAAATCTGTACACCAGAATCCCTGAAATATCATGGAATCCCGCGGAATCCCTCTGGAATCCCACGAAATCCCACTAGACTTCCACAGGAATCACACGAAATTCCATTCGAATCCCACATGCCTGTACAATATAATCCCAAGGTGGTTTACCCATCGGATTTCGAGATGAATTCCTGGAATAATCTACTCGTGATGAAGTTTCATCTTCCACACGCTATTTGACATTTCCTATACAAGTCCTGGAATGATCGAAACCTTTCATAAGATGTGTTGATGAAACTCAGTGGCAAAAGCCAAGTAGCATAAATATAAAAAATATATCACACTACCTGTTTACGGGTAAGGAGCTCTCATATATTATGATCACATGAGATGTTCATCTTGAAATAGTATCTTCTTTGAGCTGTTGAAGTCCTGCTATAAAAAAGTAACTCACCCTGTATATTATTTAATTTACATATTGATACAGGGTGTGGCTGAGCGTGGCCAAGTTCCATGCGGGCGTGGCCTGGGATGCGCAGCAGGATGTGCGGCTGTGCCGAAGCTACTTGAACGTGTGGGACGGGCAGCTGTGGGCGCCATCTAACTGCGATGGGCTGTACTGGTGAGTTGTTAGTAGTTTTTTTTTCTTTTTTTTTATTGTGGAAGAAAAATTTTCAAAAAGGCATCAGGTAACAGACACATCTGCATCTATCGCCTGATAGTGCTAGATTTTTACCAGCTAAACAAATTACACATTTCCCTTGCTGCCAGTGGGACTCCTAAACGGAATTACTTAACTAAACAGCGGTAGTCTGATGTTCGTCTCTTCATATATTTCTCCTTTTGAACTCTCTCTCTTTCCTCATCAATATTTCCGTGATCGTCTCGCTGATTTAATGCCAATTCTCTCTGTCTGCATGGTGTCCATAATATTTCCTTCTGTCAATCTGACATTTACTGCCCGCTCTAGTTCTTCTTCCATTTATTGAAATATCATGTGGTCCGGTGTATCGGTTTATGCGCAGTGCATGCACTCATTGTTTTCACTAACTTTTATTCTGTGTAGATAAGTCATGGAAAAGCCATGTCCAGTCATCCATTGTGTCATATAGTAGTTTGTGTTGCCGAACTGTCTGTTATTCCACTTCTGGATATCTGGTATAAGTGTGTAGGTCCACCCACCATTCTCACATATTTCCCATTCAATTGCCATCTAGTATCCATTCTTTCCGATATTGCTTTTTTCTCAGCTTTGCTCTTGCCCCACGTCTCACTTTTCTTGCTTATCAGTAGTTTAATGGGCATAATGGCTGATATCACGAGACAACTTCCTAAGGATGCCGTTTCGAATGCCCTACTGATTCTCACTTCCACCGTCCTCTGCATTTGTGTAAGTATCTTCATATTTTGTTTCACTGCAGTTGCTTTTCTCCACACAATAGATGCATATAAAGAGTTGTTAGTAGTAGTAGTAGTTGTAGTAGTAGTAGTTGTAGTAGTAGTAGTTGTAGTAGTAGTAGTTGTAGTAGTAGTAGTAGTAGTGATAGCGCTGACCTATGAACAACAAAAGGAGAAACAATACAATGAGGATTCTAGAAGAACTTTAGTACACAAACGGGCGTAAATTAGCACTTTACTTGTTCTACAACAAATAGTTCATTTGAAACCTCCATTTCAGATGGTGTAACATGAAAATTTGCTTTTTCGTGTTCCATAGTGTGAATTCTGCATATAGAAGGGGAGGAAGCTCTGTGAAGATGCACTGCTTAACTTGATGATTCCTTTTCTAGCTCTTGGGGTACTTTGAATAATTCCATCTTGATGAATGTTTTAATAATTATCTATGTCCATGACTAGATGACTGTTACGTTATTTTCGTCCACCTCTTATCCAATATTGCACTTATGTCAGATGCCCATTATTACTGTAGTTTACATCTTATAGTATCTTGCCAGTAGAAGACTGTTTGTCACGTTTAGTGGCAGTGGCGTGTAATGGTACAGGGATATTCACAAATTTGTATCGACTGTTGAGTCGACTAATGTATCGACTATCGATATCATGATCGATATTTAATATTTCTTTCAAGTTGCATCCTTGAATCATATCATTTGAGTAACTAGCACAATATTATTTTGAGATGGATTGCAAGGGCTCTGATTGACAAAAACATTTTTTTTGAGAAATTTTAGTTTCTTCGTACCTCCTAGTGATTTCTTCTCCCATCAAGTGAGTGAAAATTGAACATGAAAGCAACCGATTCATAACCGACTCATACTCCGAATTGGCAGATGTGAAAATGGGTGTCCCGCAGGGATCTATCCTTGGGCCCACTCTATTCATCATATATGTCAATGATATTGTGTGCAACTTTCCTGATGTGACCTTTTCCCTGTTTGCCGATGATACTAGCATACTTGTTAATGACGCCAACATACAACCTCTACTTTGTCTCTCTCAAAGGACGGTGTATGGTATCCTAGATTGGTTTTTAGCAAATAAGCTCTCTCTCAATATAAGTAAAACGCAATGTATTTTTTTCAATCCATATAGAAACATTAATGATGATATTCGATTGATTGTAGACAATGAAACAATAAATACATCACAATCCACGAAATTTTTAGGACTCACCATTGATAAAAATCTTGATTGGTCTGAACATATAAAGCAATTGAACACGAGATTGAGCAAAGCTATATTCGCCATTCGAACAATTAGAATGAATACTAATAGTGACGTCGCAAAAACAGTTTATTATGCCTATTTCCACAGCCTTCTGCAGTTTGGTATTGAGTTTTGGGGTACTTCTGTTGAATCAACATCTACCTTCATTATACAGAAACGTGCGATTCGAACAGTATTCAATCTGAGGTACAGAGATTCATGTAGGAATTATTTCGTAAACTATGAAATATTTACTTTAACCACCTTATATATATACAAAGTCTCGCTTCTGATCCACAAAAATAGTGGTTCCATGTTGCGCCCAGCAGATATCCATTCATACCCAACCAGGAACCAGTCTATAATCCTTCCAAATTATCGACTCAATAGAACTCGTAAGGGACCCCTGTATACAGGGATTAATATTTATAATCACCTACCGGAAGTATTGAAAGCACTATCTATGAATAAATTCAAGGTCGAGTTGAAAAAATTATTACACCAACATAGTTTTTATAACCTGGATGAATTTTTCAATACCATTTTCTAATATTACCATGCATATACTATAATCATGTCTGTAACATTGGTTTTATGATATCTAGCTTTTTCAGTCATCTTTTCTTCATATATTGCATGCGACTTGTCTAGCCATTTTCCCTAAGCTCTATGCGATGAAGATACACCGAGATATAATTTCATTGTTATACTTCTTAATATTATGTGTCTGTATAGGTATACCTGTTATCTGCAGATATATTACAAATCTGTATCTTTTGGGAAATAAAAATCTATCTAAAAATCTATCTATCAAGAGGTTTCATGTGTTGATGGTAAAATGAGGCCCTTGAGATCTTGGCTCTCGTGCGATCATGTCAGGTGGTGGACACCTATTTTTGTATTAGGCCTTTCCGATAGGGGGGTAAGCAATAATGAATCTCTTTTCGTGGATGAACTTCGATAGGGTATGTACATTTCAGATATCACGGCCTTATACAGGGGAGCAAAGGGTACAGAAGTAGATGATATGAATGATATATGAACTTCATTATCTTTTGACCAAATGGCAGATTTCTAGACTGGAATTTCAACACTCAACATCACTGTTAACTGGATAGGTCACTAAGAATCGCATCTTCCATCAACGATGGGCATTTGGAAATCTTGAACTGTTTTCGGACTTCAATGTTCTGCTGGCCTCAAGTGGCATTCTACTGTCTGGCGTATAGGTATAGGCATTGCTGTTTAATTCAGGACATATATGTTCCAGTTTGAATGGGACTTCTATCTAATATAACAGTTCTTCTGATATTTTTGAGATACAAAGTCATGATACGATCGAACCCAGAATGAGTTATCTGTGATGACATTGATTGACATCAAATATAATATAGTCGACTCCTAATTCAATAATTTGACTAAGGTACCACGGTAACGTCGATTCCATCAATGATATTCTTCACTGCTGCAGCAGCCATGATGTATTTGTTGGAGCACCTCGGGAAAAACATATAGGTAGGCAAAGCGGTTTCGCTTCTTTTGAAGTTCGTTCGAATTACGTGCACGTTGCAGACATTCACAGATTGGGTATTTTCAATTCAACCGTTTTTTCCACGCCATGTATGATAAACGTCAAGTCATTGTACAACTGATAAACGCTCCAACTGACTTTGGATAAAATATATACCTTTGTATTTCGGGCGTAACTTGCTTTTATGGACCTAAGCGCTATCGCTCGGGCTCACACTTACACGCTACGGTTAATAAAACATACATACCTATTTCGACCTACAAGCGAGCAATTGAATGTTTAAAACATCTGCGAAGAAATTATCGACGTCAGCAGTGTCAGCACTGAATGTCTTCGATTTCTGTTTTGGAGTCTTATTAGAACGTATATCTATATCCATGTAGATTTTATCAGAACCGGCTACACTCTTGGTCAGAGGTCAGTGCGTAGTAGTATCTCAGTAGTCCTAAGGTCTGTTCGTTTGTTAATGGCATGATGAAAACAGAGGAAGTCATTGAGAAAAAAAAGCAAACAAGGTAGAGCGAACACAAACGAACAGGTCTCTAGAGTATAACTATAGTTGGAACGAGATAATGATATTCCTTGTTTCCTCTGTGAAAAATACAACACATTCACTTAGATTCTCTTTCAAGGGCGACTAGCTCTTTGGATTTAATGGAAAAATGTGTGATTGAGATATCAACGTAGTATTCATTTGATTTGAACGGCATATGCCTTGCGGCGCGTATATTTATTGACAAAAAAACATACAGGTGCTGAACCTAATTACATGTTTTCATTTCCTAAAAATAAAACTAAAACTAAGAACAAAATCGTGAATTTTGGTAATTTCTAGGTATTTTAATACACAGTTATTATGTTATTCGAATGAATTAAAAAAATATATCATATTGTTATATTACTATAATGATGAGAATATATATATATATATATATGAAACTTAGTAGTGGGGAAGCAGCACTTTTACTTGCTGCTTCCCCACTACTATATATACGCAAGAGGTGAAATTTCCGATGACTGTGGTATAATCTCAGTAGATAAGTAATGAGGGTTCTGGAACAAAATCTCATGTATCTTATAGTGAATGTTGATTCTTGTCAAAATTTTACATCCATTGGGTAAGGGGAGCTGGAATGGAAATATGTATTGAAGGCGAGGCCAATAGTGCGAAGTGGTAGGTCAGCTTTGAGTGTGGTCACAAAAGGAGAGGAGTATTAGTCACTCTTACTTTGGGGAGACAAGTGCAACTAGTTTGATAGTTCTATGAGTGATGTTTCACGTCAGCAAACATAGAGTTGGTAGGCATTTAGCTTGAGGTTAGCTGTGACTTGAGTGTCGAGAGAAGCAAATTCGATCATGTCCCCATGTATCTAAACCATTATTATTGAAACATCAACCTCAGGATCAATGAATATTCAACCTAC